AGGCAACAAGGTATGTATTGCTTCTGGGCCAATTACCTCACTAAAATAACCCTCCACCCTCCTTCAGTGTCACAAACTACCTCCTCTATTTAAAAAAATAGTTATTCAAATCTTTTTTTATATTACTTACATCTTCTTTCTCCCTGAGTGATAAAAAAAAGAATAAAGGAAGACTTTTATAAAGTTTAATAATACTAGTTAATATCTCAAAAATGTATTTTACAACATAGCCCCCCAGTTTTCTGTGGAGAAGAATGGAGGTATTTTCTCCTATCTTTTCTTCAAAAGACTTCATATGGCATAGTGGATAGAGTGCTGAACATTCACTTGGGAAAAACTGAGTTCAAATGCTACCTCAGACACTAAATGACCATGAGCAAGTCATTTAACCTTTCTTAACCTCAATTCCCTCATCTCTAAAATGTGGGAGTTGGGGAGGAAGCTTGGCCATTACTTTAACAGTATTTAGTTTTGGTTTTGATTTATTAAAATAAATCAATAATTTGTTTATTGTCCCCAGTATATCTTTATTTTATTAACTCTGTCCCAATTACATGTAACAATTTTTTAAAAATTCATTTTAAAAAATTTTGAGTTCCAAATTCTCTCCTTCCCTCTCCTACTTACCTCCTCTATTAAAAAAAAAAAATCTATGAGATCTACAAAGGCATAGGGAATTTTTGTATGTGGTGGAGGAAGGTGGCATCTTTGGCTCCTCTCTTCTATACACTCCCACATTTCCTCCCCTCTGGGTTCAAACCTTTCTGGTTAGGAGATGGAGTCATCCTTACGTCCATGTCCTTTCCGTAGTGGAGTTAGGTTTAAGGACTGAGGCTGGGAACAGTTGACTGATCCCCTTCTGGGATGGACTCCCAAATCCTTGGCTATAATGGGACCTGATGGCATGAACCAGAGTCTTCATCATCTTGGGTTAATACTTCTGGGATCTAGAAGTCTGTTATGCCTCAGCCATAGGTCCTCCTAGTACTTGGCTCTAACCACATCTCCTTGGCATTGTCTGCAGTCAATCAACCGTTCCTGAGGCTCACAGGCAACCAGCAGAGGGCAGGCAGGGTCCACGGTCTGGGCAGGGAGAGGCTTGGGCTCTGGCGGGAGGAGGGTAGAGAGAAGATATCCCTCTCCAGAGTGATGGGTGTGGATTTTGCAGGCGGATGTGAGCAGAGAAAGGGTAGTCCGATCAGAAGATGGAGAGACATTGGCCAGAGTAAGTGATTGCCCATGGGATAAAGAGAGGGTTGAGGAAGGGACTGACCAGGGGGAACAGCAGATCCTGAAGATACTTTCTACTTGACAGGAATATGGTGTGCCTTTCATGGAAACCAGTGCTAAGACGGGCATGAATGTGGAGCTAGCCTTTTTGGCTATTGCCAGGTCAGTCCATGGGACAGGGGAGGGTCCTTTCTTGGGAAGCGTGGATGGGAGAAGGAGAAAGATTGTCACTACCGCCACCATCGGCAAGAGTAAAGGAATGCCCCAGAACCTGAGGGACCCATCATTTCTGAGCCTAGGGGACGAGGGGGACTCTTTTTGGAAATGCAATCTCAACCCTGGCCTCTTTCAGGGAGCTGAAGCACCGAGCTGGGCAACAACAGGCAAATGAGCCCAGCTTCCAGATTCATGACTATGTGGAATCCCAGAAGAAACAGCCTAACTGCTGCCCATTTGTGTGAGAGAAGAGGGGCAGAAGGAGCCTGGGGAGAATGAACCACTGGGTTTAGGGCTGTTCCCCACCTCCAGACTGAACTCTTAAACATCTTGAGTACTCCAGTGGGGCAACGAGTCCCCCAACTGAAAAAAAAAAGTCACAAAGGGCAGAAGCATAAGGAATGCCAAAGAAATAAGTTGCACATACACAACATCCCATCACTGCTTTTCCCCAGGAGGGACCTAGACTCCTGCATCAGGCTTACCCCAGGTTTCTCTGCTTCCCTTCTCCCAGTGATTACAGTTTGTGGGTCTCTAGCATGGGACTGGCCATTTGAGGACCAAAGATACTTTTAAGTTAAATTTTGTTCTGGTACCACAATAGTGAAAACATTGGAAAAATAGAAAACCCGGTTCCCCCAGAGAAAGGAGCTAATAATCTCCCTATTGCCTTTCAGTTCAGGGGCCTTCCATCTGAACTGCTCTGGTAAAGCCCCCCAGCCAACTCTTAACTATAGGAACTGTGACTTTGTTCTAGCTCACCAGGAGATCCCAGAAAAGGGCAATTAGTGGCTACTGTGCCCCCCTACCAGATTTCAGCTCATGAGAGACAGGCAACCTTTGTACTTTTTGTTTCTCAGAGGCTCAGGGACCACAATAACCACTGAATCACTGTGGTCTGACCTGAAGTATGATTCCCAAGTATAGAAAGTCAATGAGTGAAAACCTCAGGAGAGTATAGGTGTGAGGGTGTGAATTGGGTTTCTGTGTGTATGTGTGTGTGTGTGTGTATGTAAGAAAAGGAAGAAGTTGCACAGGTTCAGCTGGCTTTGTCTACCTTCTTTCCCTAGATCCCCATTGGACAATAAACCAACTCACTCCTGATGTCCTTCTCCCCCTCTTGACCTCCCCTCCCGCCCCCAATCTGAGGCACTTGATAAAAGAGATTCTGGGCTCCCTTGCTAAAGAGCTTCAAGAGAGTATCTATGCTGGGGAGTTCCATCCTAGGCAAGGACTTCAGTGTCGGTGAGCAGCTGAGAGTCAGACCAAGGATTTTCTCTTCTTGACCCAAGGCTTTTGGTAAATGTTCAACTTCAACATATAGCTTCTTAGAGTAATTTTAGTATTTCTCTTGGATGAGGAGGGGGAAGTGAGGAAGTTCTCCCTCCCTCTCTTTTTTAAACATTTAAAAAAATTTGAGGGGGTAGGCAATCAAGGTTAAATCACTTGCCCAGGGTCACACAACTAGTAAGTGTCTAAGGCTGGATTTGAATAGAGGGCCTCCTGACTCCACGGCTACTGCTCTATCTATCCACTGGGCCACCTAGCTGCCCCTCCTCCCTACCTTTCATCTCTTCCTTTCTTGAGGATTGGGCCCTAGCTGGCCTTCACCCAGACTGTCAATCTCCCTACCACATTCAGGTTGTTCTAGGAGAAACTCCAGGGCTTTGACCCAGATAAAGCAGAATGATTGTTTTGTTTTGTTTTTCTTTTTCTGAGTAAGTTACCTGTATGGAGCCAGATCATCATGGTTAGGGCCTTGGGAGGGTACCCAAGTGATTGTTTTCCCAAAG